GATAGATAGATAGATAGATGATAGATTCACATAATGGAACATTACAAAGCAAGGAGAATGCACACATGCCATTAGGCACCACAGTATGAACAAACATCCCAAGCAAGGTGAACACACTGTAAGTATAAAATTCAAAAATCAGGAAAGCTAATTGGTGTCGAAAGAAGTCAAATTGTGGTCTCCTTGTGGGAAGCAGTGGCCAGAAAAGGAGCTGGGGACTCCTGGGGTCCAAGCAACACTGAGTTTAACACAAACGCTGGTTACAGGAATGCGCTTGGTTGGGGGAAACGTATTGAGCTGTCCATTTAAGGTGTGTGTGCTTTATGTATTGTACTTCAATTCCTACAAAAGGCTTGCTTAAAAAACATGGCCTTTAACGTGCAGATATCACTTTTTATAAGTTCTTTCGATGGATGCTATGAGCGCTCATGGCTCACCCTTTTCTACCGCCAGACAGCTGCAAAGCTGAGGTCTACCTGAAGCGGAGATCTCAACCTGCCCCTTAAATGAACTCTCAAGGCCTTTCTCCCACCTCTCGCCTTATACCCTCTCCCCTGGAGCCCCCTCTGAGTCACTTTTCTCAGCTGGACACTTTTCTCAGCTTAGTGTGGGGATCAAACAATGGGTGTACAGCCTATCTCTGCACCTTGGTAGTGGCCTGACTTAAAGTAACTCACCTTTCTGTGCCTCGGTTTTCTCATCTGTAAAATGTGTTGATAAATGATAGTTGTTGTGAGGATTAAATGAAGTAAAACATGTAAAGCATGGAGAGTAGAGAGCTCTTTGGATGATAGGTGCTTGCATTAAGTCCGTGACACCTCCTAACTTATGGAAATTCAGATGCATTCTGGAATCAGTGGTGTCTTATCCTCGGGTGGCAGTTGTGGCATAGCTGTCACCGCTTGTGCTTATGGCTTTTATTTTCTTTATGTGTGAATGAGTGAAATATGAAACTAATTTGTCTAAATAAGCAGTTCTTTCAATAAGCACAAAATAAAAAGGCAACTCTTTCCCCCCCTCTTAGTGGACATGTTAAAGGATGACTTCTTTGATTTGGTGAAATGTTCTTATAAAATATCTCGTGAACTTGCTGTTAGCTTTCCAGCCATATATTCTATTTTAAAATATTCCCATGCATTATTTGATTTTTAAATTATGTTTTAAACTCAGTCATTTTAAACTAGGTGTTTTCCAGTGATCTTTAAAGCTTCCCTAGGAGTTGGGCAATTGAAAGACTTCCCAGGGATGCGTTGCAGTGACCAGATGCTCAGCTATCACCTGCTTCCTTCTGCCCACAAAATGCCCTTTCTCCCTCTCCACCGCCAGTCCCAGAGCTCCAGCAAACACAGGACCTGGGCAAAGGGTGTTCCTCCAGGTCTCCTGCCTCCTACCTCACCATTCCCACCCGAGCTCAAATGTCAGTTCTTCAGAAAGATCTCCATCCAACCCCCAAACCCAAAAGCCCACTGATTCTCCAGCTTTGCTACCTGTTGGAATTATCTAGGACTCTTTAAGTAATACTGATGCCTGGGTCTCGTTCTCAGAAATTCTGCTTCAGTTGTTCCAGGGTGCTACTTGGGCATGGGCATTTTTAAGAATCCCCCAGGAGACTCTAACCATTGCCATCACCCTGTTGGACGATATTCTCATTTTCTTAATTGATGACTTAAATTGTCTGTCTCTTCCACTAGCTCACGAGGACGTGGAGTTTTAACCCTGTCAACATCGTGGGTCCTGTACCCGGCACCCGCACCCCGTTAAGAGCTGAGCCTCATAGCGCAGCCTCTCAAGGGACGAGCAGGCAGCTTGGGCCTCTTCAGGAATCGCCCTTGGGCCTGAAGGGGGTCAGGAAGTGTTTCAGGTCCGGTCACTCCTCGGCCTTTCGCAACTCGCGCCTTCAGGCGCTCGCCGCCCAGGCTCGCCCCCGCCCCCAGCCCCGACGCCCAGAGGGATGCTAATGGCGCTGGCGGTGCCCTCGGGGTCCTGCGCTTTGATCGGCGAGGGGCCCGTCTAGCAGATCGCTCCTCCGCCCACGAGCCCCAGGAGCACGGCGCAGGCTCTCAGAGCCTGTTTACCTGCTTCTGGGGTCCCCGAGGACAATCAAGGAGGGGATCTCGGAGAAAGGAAAACTCCCACAGGGAGGCCCGGGAGGGGTTCGGCGCGGGCAGCGAGGGGCGCTGCGCCTTCCGCGGCCCCAGGCCCTTCTCCCTCCGCGCGCT